CAACTGATTTTATTCCGATGTCGGTGCCGCCAGTGAATACCGGTCGGGAAGACCCAGCTGATTTTGACCAAGAAATATACGATAGACAGCAAGCCAGGCTAGTCGCGGAAAGAGAAAAAAATTTAGAATTAGCCAAAAATTTTCGCAACATTCAAAATCGTTTGCTTTATTTATTAACCTATGTTGGGGAAGATTTAAATAGTTTTCGAGAATTAGATAATTTTTGTAATGAAGCTTGTTTGGCGTGGGAAGAATTTACTATTTATTGAGATTTTTGTTTTACTGCCAAACAAATCTTAACTAACACTGGCTCGCGACCAACTTACTAATGATTTAAAGGAAGACAATTTACTCGGCTTCTCTTTTGAAAAGATTTAATAGAAAATGATAAAGTAGAGAATAGAAAATTTTTGGTTAGAGAAAAAAAAAGCAAATGTTTATTGACGAGTTTTTTGCTTTAAATTATATTAAATTTAGTCGGATTTGAAAACGGGTTAAACATGAATGTGACCTTGAAGAATTAGACAACACTATTGAAGAAGCAATAAGTAACGGTAAACACGGAGCAAGCGAATTTTGAGAAAAAAGAGGAATGGATTCTACTACGGCTTGTTTGCTTTACAATATTGGAGTGAATAGCGGATGATTCATTGATATTGAAACGTCAGGAGACCGTAATTTTAAAACTTATCATTATACTCCCCATAGTCCCCGCTACAATAGAGAAACAGTATACAATTTAAGCGAGCCAAGGGAATTGAAAGAATTCATTATTGATAATATGCTGGAACGAGACCCGCTTTTGAAGGAAGCCACCCAAAATTGAACGGTTCCTTTAAGTGCCAGAGAGGCACAGATTATTAAAGAAGTTCCTACCGTATGAAATAACAATAAACTTTTTTTGACAACTTTTTTGTTAAGCACTTTACGAAAAATAAAAGGTCTGCAAGGAGGATTAAATGAAATTTTAAACCAAGGAGAAGGAGAAGCAGATTTGGCTCAGCAAAATTGAATAGGTATTGATGAACAAGGCCTTAGACAAGTTATTCGGGAAATGAACCCTGATTATCTAGAAATTTTAGAGGATTTTGAAGATAGACAAGATGTTCGTAATTATGTAAATGGAAGAACCGATAATTTAGCCCAAAAATGCTTAAATTGAGGACGCGAATTAAAGGCTTGAAATGAATTTTTGGCTAATCCAAATGGTGTGGCGGCTAATGCGATTACCGCGGAAGAGGAGAAAAATGCTTGAAAAGACAGCGGTTTAAATCCTTTCCGGCCAGAAGGAGGAGGAAGCGAAGCTGACCAAACTTTTGCTAATGGATGAATAAATATAAGGAATAACCATGGGGGATGGAAATACCGGCGAAGGACGAATTGAAAATTGGAACTCAATCACGCGAACTTTTAATTATATTTCCTGAGGAATAAAGGTGGAGAATGTGGACCCCCTGACGCAAACTAAAAGAGAACTAGACCAAGCGGCTTTAACTAAATTACGCACGGATGCGATTAACGAAGTTAATAATCGTTGAAATACTTTACAACAACCCGACGGCACCATTAACGGACAACCCAAGGCTACTGTCTTGGAGAATGCTAATTGAGAAACGGTCTTACGAGCTCTCACTACCCCCGCGGACATTAATGCGGAAGGAGACCGCTTAATTAATTTAATTAATGCTGTTGTGCCGACTAATCATATTCCTACCTCTACTTTTAATACAATTCCCTATAATATTCGGCAAGAAGCCTATGAAGCCTTAAATATTGGCGATTTATGACGAATAGAGGAAGCCATTATTCATTTAGAACCTTATCGGTCGTCTAATAATGAAGCAAAAAATCTTTACGAAAGCCTTCATCGCTTAAAGGAAAGCGTTATTTTAAGCCAGCAACAAGAAGAAAGAGAAAGGACGCAAAGGAGAAATGAAGAATTAGAAGGTTATAAAAACGATGCCATTCAAGCCGTAAATAGCCATTGAAAGGATAAAGCCGGTTCGGATACTGGCAGAATTAACGGGCAAGATAAAAATAGCCTCTTAACTAGCAGTTGAGAATGAAACATTAGAAATAAAACCAGTGAATCCACCATTAACGAGGAAAAATACCGCTTAATTAGTTTAATTAATGAATGAAAAAATGCTGAAATTGCCCGACAACAATCATGGGAACCAGAGGAGGATTATTATGTTTCAAGTTATAACGAATCACCCGCCGAAGAAAAAAAAGCCAATGAAGGAAATGCTGCTACTAATAATAGCGACCACGATAATGACCCTCAAAAATCTCCTCTCTCTGAACCTCCTAACGAGGAAAGTCCCGCCGAAGAAGAACCTACCATCGAACAAGCCAAATCTATTCTAACTGACGAACAAGCCGAAGCGGCCGAAATTCAAGCCTTAGCCGATAAATTAGAAAAAGAAGACAAAGAAGACAAAGAAGACAAAGAAGACAAAGAAGACAAAGAAGACAAAGAAGA